CTAGATTTTGGAGGTGTGAAAAACACCCGGGGAAAGGGGTCTCCGAAGTGCACCGATGCCGCATGGGGCGCTGTAAGCAGGACTGCGGGGCGTTGAGCAGACGATGTAAAGCGCATGCAGCCTTGATGTGCTCGAGAAACTTGGCTAGCACTATTTTTCCCGTGTTGCACTTACGAGTGCTAATCGCTTTTTCCAAGCGTGTGCAATAATGAAGAATCTACTTCATGTCATTCTTCAAAAAATTGCGTTCACGTGCATTATCATGCAGCAGCCTGCATACGAAGTAGCCCCGCCACGGTGGTCTAGTGGCTAAGGTACTCGGCTGCTGACCCGCAGGTCGCGGGATCAAATCCCGGCTGTGGCGGCTGCATTTCCAATGGAGGCGGAAATGTTGTAGGCCCGTGTATTCAGATTTGGGTGCACGTTAAAGAACCCCAGGTGTTCGAAATTTCCGGAGCCCTCCACTACGGCGTCTCTCATAATAATATGGTGGTTTTGCGACGTTAAACCCCCCAAATCAATCAATCATACGAAGTAGCACTGCGCGCTAGTAATATCGTTTGAGGCATGTCAGGCATGCTGGCTAATCTAGGCACCGTGTTTAATAATAATATTTTTTACTGATGTGCTGCTATTTCACTTAATATGTATCAGTGAATTAGGAATCAGTGTAAATGATTAAAGTCATTTTCAACGCCTATTCACATTGTTATAAATACTCTGCTCTTATCGACATGTTCCTATCTCCTGGCTGCTGAGAAAGCATCGTGTGCACAATTTGTTGGCAGAAGAAACAAAGGCATTAGTTGAAAAGAAATCATATTTGGTGGCACAGCAAGTTACTTCATCTGTGCAATAAAAATCAGTCTAGAGAATACAGGGCTTAGCACACGGGCATTTGTGTTCTTGCTCCTTTTTGTTGGCCTAGTTTAAAAATGAATGCCGCGAGTTAAGCAATACAAGCATCTAAGTGATCACGTTTACTTAATGACATGTTAAAAAAGAGCCCAGTAACGTTCTCCTAATATATATATAGATGTGTGCAACAGGCCCCGGGGACGCAAGCCGTTTGAAAAAAAAAAAAAAAAAGTCCCGCCTGCAACTTGCCAAGAGATTGGGAGGGGGACTCAAGTAATTGCGTCACTGATTGTTGGGGGTATCACGTGAATGTTGCGCGAGATCAGGGAATGCCTAATTGTGATTTCGCCTTTATTATTCCTATTTACTTTATTATTCCTATTTACTGATAAGGAAAAGCGTTGCCTTCAACGAGGGATGAAACGCTGATTTTGGGTTGTGCCCAACTACTGCTTGAAGGTACTTTTGTTGTCATCGCGCCTTCTCGAGTCAAGCAAAGCGTCAAGTCTAGCGAAAGGCAAGTAACGACGACTTGATTCCATTCCGTATGCGCAATTGAGTGCCTACATTTACGGGGTTGCCAGTTAACGGTTGTGGGGGAGGGGGGCGCCAGTTTTGCGGCTGTCTTTTTAGGCTGGCACAATACGTGAACATCGAGAGCGGTGTTGTCGACGGCACCGCCGACGCCGGATCCGTGACATCCTGCCAATAATGAATGTTCTGCATTAAAAAAATGGTCAGCTTGTTCTCAAACGAATAAATTAAGTGGAACGTACACCCCACCTGACAGGTAAAGGAGACTACCCACTGTGCCCTCGCCAGTAAAATGGGGGTGTCCTTTTGTTTGTTGCTGAGGCAAACTGCTTTGCATAGTTCCCTGTTGATACAAACAAAATCCTCCGCTGTCTCATAGAGCGCGCAACGTAACATTGTGGGCACAACCTAATCAGCGTCAACTCTCGGTATTGTAAGGGCTCACGTCTCAAACAGCTGTTCACGCACCAGTGCTCAAGACAGATGTTTTTTCTGTCGATGACCTTACCTGTAGGGCTTTGTGAATAGAAAATTTTAGACGCACATCAATTACGAATGAAGTAGCATAATTACAACGAATCGAATATGACTTGCATATTATTGGAAAAATAAGACGGCAGTTTTAGGAACAGTTGCTTCCTGAATATTCAATTGAAAGTAACTGTGAGAAACATTTGAAAAAGGATTGTTACGAATAATTTTAACCATTAAAATATCATTATTAGCATAACTGGGGTAAATACATTGAGGCAGTGACAGCCAATGTCAAAGATCGGTGTTCATTGAAATACAGCTGTTAATTTAGAACTCATGAGGATGTTTTCTCGCAACTTTTCACTTACAGTGAGGCGTAAAAATTAACCATATTGCCACCTGGTTTTTTTTGCCAGTGAACAATGCGCCAGTTCTGTGCCAGTGAACGAAGACGGCGAAGACGAGCCACCCGTGCAAGCCTACAAAGGAGTCTTCAAAGGAGCCTTCAAAGGATCAGTTCTGTCATATATTTTTATTTGTTATCTTATTATCATCAACTCCAGTTCATAAACTGCTCCTCTTTGCGTCTATGCCGATGATATTGTTCTTTTCGCGTCATTCCGAGATATCAATACTTTGTATGAAATCCTATAGTCATACTTGTGTGAGCTTGAAGTGTGGCTTGGTGGGCTGTCTTTTTCGCTTAATGCTAACAAATGTGCTCTGCTTGTATTTCCTCTATCTGTTCCCGTATTTCTTTCACTGCATTATCTAAATGATCTGATTCCAGAAGTAACGGACTAAAATATCTAGGCATTGTTTAAGTTGGCAATTTCTATTGGCAGCAACAAATAGAATCAAACACCCGTAAAGCAGAAAGCGCTTTAGGATTGCTACGGCGGTGTTGCAATAAGAATTCAGGTTTGCGCAGGGTTACGTTACTTATGATGTTTACAAACATTACGTACGCCCAATTCTGGAGTTTGGGTGCGTCCTGTTTTATGGAAGTTCTGAGTACAAATTAACATCTCCTATATTGCTAGAAAGGCGAGCTCTGCGGCTGTGTCTCGGGCTACCTAGGTGTGTTGCGAATGGCGTGTTTATTTAAGAGCTCGAAACTTTTAATTTGATGTAAGATTTCGACAGCTTAACGGGAAAATATTTTTAAAACTCTATGATGCACCCCTCTCCCGTTCTCAGACAGTTTTCATCAAATCCCCAGATTCTTTCTTTAAGCGGCCGTGACGTCACTATCAACGACGTCAAGTCATTTTCGTCGAGTCTTTGTTATTGAATGTTCACGTTTCCCTCAAGCATTTAGCTCCCCGAACCTTGTATTTGATGCCAGTTGACTTAGTTTTCGATGATATTTCCCAAGAAGTGCTAAGATGCTTTTAAAGAAGGTTATGAAGGGGTTCTTTCAAGACCATGTCTACAATTTTCCTATGTACGTGGTAATTTTGACGGATGCAACGCAAAATCTTCAGAAGGCGGGGGTAGGCACTTTTTCTCATCAGCTTTATTCGTCCTTTGCCTTCCGATTGGTTGACTTCCCGACAATTTTACTCGCTCAATTCTTGGATATTAAATTGGCTCTTCGAAAAATAATTTCTCAGCAAAAAAAAACTTTAGATATTTTGGATGCTTTGTCTGTTTGTACACATTTAACGTGCGCAAAGCAGTCTCCTCTACCAAGAATATTTTGGTCTCGCGTACCGCGTAGCCTATCAGAAGTTCGGTTTCTGTGAGTCCACGGGCATGCTGGACTTGCATAAATGATACTGCTAACTCGCTCGCTTCGGTATCTTTGAATTTCCCGGTGGTACTAGTAGCTTCGCAGTTTTTATTACTGCCGATCAAATCAAACGCCTGTTAATCTTCAAAATCCACGAAATATCGCTCCTACAATGTGAAGAAGGGCGGCATTTGCAATTCACATTGAACACCGAAAATGCCTTTCACGTCTATAAGGGGGAACCCTCAGAAGCTTTCGCTGTAGAGTTCCTCGATGAAATCGTTATCTTTTCAAATCAGGACTTTAATTAACTGACCTATGTGCAGCCTGCAATGAACCGGAAACAATTGATCACTTTCGTCGCACATGCCGCTGTTTCGCCTCACTGCACCGAATACTTCTTGTGAGACCGATTGGTATGCTGAAATTGGAAGTTACCACACCCACCCTTTTATCGTTTGGAGCCAAGTCAGTTGTGTGCGGGCCGCCGTGATATTCTGTCAGCAATACATAAATACATTCAGGCAACCGAGAGGATACGCTGCCAGAGGTACCGCCAGATATATCCCATTTTTGGTCCCCGTTCTCCATTTTTGCTGATTTGTTTTGCAGATTCTGGTTTAACTGATTCCTTAGACCATATACCCTCTTTTTATATTTTTAAAGGAACGTTAATAATGACGATATCTAAGTTCTTATTTTTTATGAAGCGTTAATTGTGTAAAAAATTTGCGCTATTGCGTACAGTGTGGCCAATCCTCCTTGTGAGTATGAGCCAAAATTTCCTAGAGGACAATACAAGTCAAGAGTCATCGAGTTTAATGGATTGCGGAGCTACAGACTTCAGTTGCACTGTGGTGGCCTGCCGCCAATCGGGAGCGTGGAGCAGATTTGTGAGATCCAGTTGACCGTTTGACCCGTCGTTCTCTTAATCTGCCCATGTGACACCGGGACCCTTGGCCTTTTTGACAACAGCATTGTGGGTATCTCGTTGGTCCGAGCAGCAGCAGTTCGTGGCCTCCAGAATGGTGTAGAGGCTGCGCAGGTGAGGAACTGCAACGCTGTTCATGTCCTCCCAGTGGCTGCAATTCTGAGACAGAAGTTTGGTGAGCTCGGCGAACATCTGTCACTGACCCTGCATTTCCATTCGCTCGACCACCAGCTCCAGTTTTGCTATCTCTGCTACCAAAGCCTCCAAGCAACCGGCAGCGGAAGCCTCATTCAGGAGGTCTTTGCTGCACTCGAAGTTTCGCATTTGTTCGTTGTGAAGAGCCTTCAACTTTTCTTTTGCAGCAAGACGTTTGGCTGCTTAAGACTTCAAAAAGTGATGATCGGGCTCTGACACCTTCAAAGTGTCTTCACTGGAGCCCTGGAGTAAGTTGACATTCTTCGCCGTCTGCTATTTCCAGTTCTCCTTCAACACGCTGGCGCGAAGGATGTTTTCGTTTTCCCATTTCTGCCTAATGATGTCCGCTCGTGCTGCATAGATCTTTCTGGTAGTGTCGAGAAAGTAGGCCGTCCTGCTGTCGTCGCTGCGCTCGTTCGCCTCGATGGTCAGTGAGAGGACGGACGTCGTCGACAGGGCATCGTTATGCGAAGCTGGAACGATGCTGCCGGCGTCAGTATGTTGATCTTGGAGCAGGGCGTCCTTGGCCGTCGCGAGGCTCTTTTTGAGCTCGACCACCTGGATCTCGAGCTTGGACTTCTCGTTTTCTGCCTTGTCGAGCTTGCGCTGAAGGCCTTCCACCTTTCGCTTGTACTCCTCTACGAGGGAGCTGTACATAGGCGTGTGTGCGTTGACGTTGTGGACCTTTTTCTGGGCCTGCAGTTCGATCTTCATGGCGCGCACGGCATACTTGAGAGTGTTGTGGGTGTCGGTGTAGCTGAGCTTGGAAGGCGACACGAAAGCCATCAAGAGGGTGCGACAAGTGCCACCCAGAGAGTCTTTCAGGATGTGCGTCACCTTAGAGTCCTGGTACGGAACCCACTGAGCCCCACCCTTGGAGAGGGCATCAAAGCAGTTGCCCAGGGTCAGAAGCGACAGGTGAACTTTGGTGCCCTCGCGTATCTGGTCCTTGATGTCTTTGTTCCCGGCAGCGACACGTTCCGAGCCAGCTAGGTCGACAAAGCTCACCTTGGAGACGCGAATCTCTTTGCTCGTGCTGGTCACGTTCTCCGTCTGCGTTATGTAAATCTGAATTATTGTATGAAACCGCGACGACTCTGAATTGAAATGGGTGGCATGCTGTGTCCTGTTCCTGTTGCCTTTCTGGAGGAACTCGAACAGTGTCCCAGACTCCTTCACGTTGTGAATAGAAAGGTTGGAGATGGCGATGCTCTTGGCTGGGTCGTCCCGCACGACCAATGACGGTCCTTTGGGGCACAGCAGGTCGCGTACCACCTCGTTGCAGACTTCCATGTAGGCGACCGCAACGTCGCATGACTGGCTGTTGGAGCGGAGCCTATCCACGCACCGGTAGAGCTCACTTGCCGTCAGGGAGACCAACCCGGGACAATCCTCGGAGCCCAGCATGGTGAACGTCTTGCCAGTTCCGGTTGCACCGTAGGCGAAAACGGAACAATAGTAGCCGTCAAGAAGCGTCGTGAGCATCTCTTTGGTGGTGCGCTCACAATTGTACTTACTGTTCTTATCTTCACCAAAGACCTTATCAAACATGAAAGTATAGTCCTTGTGTGGCTTGACGACACCCGCGCATGCCTGCTGCCCTCGAAAGTTGACGGACTCGGCTACGGCTTTGGGGTTTAACCCGAGGCACCTGTCGTCACCCACGCAGCGCAGACGATGCTGGACGTCTCTGACTCGCGCTCGTTTAGGGGGCGCACCCTCACGGCCACGTTCACGCGCGCCCAGGGCGACGGCGGGTTGTTGCCAGCGTAGTGGCATTTTGGGGCCGACTTTGCGGTGTCGCTGGAGCGCCTCTTGCTATTCTGCGATGGTGCTATTGTCGACGCTTCGGTGGCTTTGCCAAACGACGCACCTTGTGGATCCTACGGAAGTCGCAATGCGCTCTCCGCTATGGAAATGGCCGACATCGTGCGCTGGTCCGCTTGATGATCGGTGCGTTTTATGGCAGCTGTTTTTGCGCGTCTATCGGGTCCAATGCACGCGCCTCTCGTGTTTAATGCACGTGGTTGGTTGGTTAGTTGGTTGGACGCCAAAGGATTGGTTCAACCCACTAAGGAGATCAGCCACAAATAGCGCAGCATTGGTATCTAGAAAGAAAAGAGAGGAGGGGGATGCCTAAATATTTTAATAACTGCTTAGCTGAGCTAACAGGCTAAAATGTATTGTTTAAAATTAAAACAAATAACAATAAAATAGAATAAATAAATATACAGTATAGAAAATATAAAGTAGACTTGTTATAAAAATATGTAACAAGTATGTGCTTACGAGGTTAGCATGGTAGCCATATTGATTCTCGTGTTCTATGCTTGTTGTGTTGCTGAATTAACATACCAAAATTCATTATTCATATAGTCGCTTGGTAACCATAAGTTTTTAAATTTTAGAACCATCATAAGTAATCAATACTTCCTTGAAAGACTGCTGGTCGTGCTTGCATTTTGATAATACATCATTTAAAACAAATAGGCGCTGTCTTGTTCTATTATACGTTTCTCCTCAGATGTTTTTGCACCAGTGATCAATACTCGGCAAAAACCAGGCGGCAAGGGAGCTCGTTCTTGGAGCAATTTTTTGCCGCTTGCCGAGGTTCGCCGCTTTGCGCAGCTAATCAGAACGCCACGCATCCGACGGACGGTGCTGGTGCGGGTGTATGTTTGGGAAACGCACTGACACGTCATAGCGACACGCGCAGAAAATCGCGAGATGTCCGCCTCTTCTGCCGGGCGGCCACCCGAAAGAGGCATGCCGTCTGAACAGGTTTACGCACTCGTCCCCTAACCACTTCCAAAATCCCGCCTGGCCGCTTGGCCGCGCCGTCTTCGGCGTGAATGAGCCTTTAGTGTCACGCAGATTTTGGCCTCTGGCAGTGTAAGCAGCTTGGTATGGTGCGAAGAACTTCATTGGGTCCCGAAGGTCAAACCTGGGTTAACCCGTACCCCACAAATGTCGGGACCGGCGGGTCAGCGTCTTCCGCTTAACTTTTCGCTATTTCGTTAAACCGTGCGGCCTTAACTTGATGATGTGCTTATCTTACAATTAAAGAAATCACACTACCTAAAGCAGTAAATTTGCACAGCTCACCCCTAGGGCTGCCAAAAATAATATTTCGCTTTTGATGTTGCATCTAAGGCCATCTAAAGCCATCGCCTTAATAGCAGTATTCTGTCGTAAGTACCGTGTTCGGAAGTGCGCCTGCAATGTCGCACGACGGTGGCGATAAATTGGTAGAGACATTCAAAAAATGAGACAATCTAGCTTGACGACATCAAGCATGGCAAAGTAGCTATAATCTCGACGATATTATCACAGTAATAGTAAGTTCAATGATTTCTGTTCACTGGTTATCCTACAACATATAATGTTTGTTGGTCCGAGTAAGCAGATAGATGAGGCCGATCTAAAACTGGCAACAAAATTGAAAACAAGAAATTACTTCTATGGCATGATGAGGAGCTGAGTTGGTAGGGCATAAACCCACACTGTCAGTTTCGTGTTGAGAAGCATTCTCTTCTTCACGTGGAGGAGGCCCGTCACTGCTGATTGGATTGGATAATCTTTTATTGGGTCCTCCAAAACACAGATCACTGTGTCGCGGGCTGCTCCCACGTTTGGACTCAGATGTCGAGCTCCTCATCTGTCTCGTTGGAGCGCTGCCTTTTGCATGAGTGTGTGCTGATTCATTATCGCCATGTATTGGAGTCACTGTGTCTACCATCAATAAATTTGGCGTACTTTCAGTGGTCATTTCAGGACCTTCAGATGCAGTTGAACCTTATGACTTCCGTCGCTTTCCAAAAACTCTGCAGTAGAGCCAGCCGTTTTCGCAGAGTTTTCCCGTTTTTTTAGTTTTTGTTGCTGGAAATTCAGGTAATTTGGGCAGCCCCGGTAAAATAGCAGGCACAACATTATCAATGAGTGTAGGTTTCTTTGGCAGGAGCAACAGCACGTTTTCCTTGTATTCTAAATAGTATGTGGCAGAGATCACTTCTTTCGAGAAATGGTTCGCGCGCACATGGTCAGCAGGTTGTAAGGCTCCGTCAGCTCTCGGAATCACCCGTCGACACTCATCCAAGTGCTCTAGTTTACACGGAGCCTTGAAAAGCGACACACGCTCAATACAAAAACGGTACCTCGACTTGCAATTTTGGACAAAGCAATACTTACCCATTTTGAAGCATCGCCACTGACGAGACCGCTGACGAACAATGGAAGTCACATGCAGCGTCGAGGCATATGTGAACTGAGCCTAGAAGTGCGATTCATATAAATAAATGCACTGTGTAGGCTCTCAACCATCGGATATTTTATGATTATGTGACAAAGTGTCATGCACGCAAAGCTTTCGGGAAAATGTTCCATCGTGCTCGAATTTCAAAATGAGCACCGTGCGAATACCTGGCGCCCCATACAGTAGCGCCACCTCAAATCGCGCGACGGCAACTACTTGTAGCTCAAGGTAGGGTGTCTAGATTTTGGAGGTGTGAAAAACACCCGGGGAAAGGGGTCTCCGAAGTGCACCGATGCCGCATGGGGCGCTGTAAGCAGGACTGCGGGGCGTTGAGCAGACGATGTACAGCGCATGCAGCCTTGATGTGCTCGAGAAACTTGGCTAGCACTATTTTTCGCGTGTTGCACTTACGAGTGCTAATCGCTTTTTCCAAGCGTGTGCAATAATGAAGAATCTACTTCATGTCATTCTTCAAAAAAATTGCGTTCACGTGCATTATCATGCAGCAGCCTGCATACGAAGTAGCCCCGCCACGGTGGTCTAGTGGCTAAGGTACTCGGCTGCTGACCCGCAGGTCGCGGGATCAAATCCCGGCTGTGGCGGCTGCATTTCCGATGGAGGCGGAAATGTTTGTGGCCCGTGTATTTAGATTTGGGTGCACGTTAAAAAACACCAAGTGGTCGAAATTTCCGCAGACCTCCACTACGGCGTCTCTCATAATCATATGGTGGTTTTGGGACGTTAAACCCCCCAAATCAATCATTCATACGAAGTAGCACTGCCCGCTAGTAATATCGTTCGAGGCATGTCAGGCATGCTGGCTAATCTAGGCACCGCGTTTAATAATATTTTTTACTGATGTGCTGCTATTTCACTTAATATGTATCAGTGAATTAGGAATCAGTGTAAAGGATTAAAGTCATTTTCAACGCCTATTCACATTGTTATAAATACTCTGCTCTTATCGACATGTTCCTACCTCCTGGCTGCTTAGAAAGCATCGTGTGCACAATTTGTCAGCAGAAGAAACAAAGGCATTAGTTGAAAAAAAAATCATATTTGGTTGCACAGCAAGTTACTTTTTTCTGTGCAATAAAAATCATTCTAGAGAACTCAGGGCTTAGCACACGGGTCTTTGTTTTCTTGCTCCTTTTATTTGGCCTAGTTTAAAAATGAATGCCGCGAATTATGCAATACAGGCATCTAAGTGATCACGTTTACTTAATGACATGTTAAAAAGAGCCCAGTAACGTTCTCCTAATATATATATAGATGTGTGCAACAGGCCACACGGACGCAAGCCGTTTGAAAAAAAAAAAAAAGTCCCGCCTGCAACTTGCTAAGAGATTGGGAGGGGGACTCGAGTAATTTCGTCACTGATTGTTGGGGGTATCACGTGAATGTTGCGTGAGATTAGGGAATGCCTGATTGTGATTTCGCCTTTATTATTCCTATTTACTTTATTATTCCTATTTACTGATTGAAGAAAAAGCGTTGCCTTACACGAGTGATGCGACGCTGATTTTGGGTTGTGCCCAACTACTGCTTGAAAGTACATTTATTGCCATCACACCTTCTCGACTCAAGCAAAGTGTCAAGTCTAGCGAAAGGCAAGTAACGACGACTTGATTCCATTCCGTATGCGCAATTGAGTGCCTACATTTCCGGGTTGCCAGTTAACGGTTGTGGGGGAGGGAGCGCCAGTTTTGCGGCTGTCTTTTTAGGCTGGCACAATACGTGAACATCGAGAGCGGTGTTGTCGACGGCACCGCCGACGCCAGATCCGTGACATCCTGCCAATAATGAATGTTCTGCATTTAAAAAAAATGGTCAGCTTGTTCTCAAACGAATAAATTAAGTGGAACGTACACCCCACCTGACAGGTAAAGGAGACTACCCACTGTGTCCATGCCAGTAGAATGGGCGTGTCCTTTTCTTTGATGCTGAGGCAAACTGCTTTGCATAGTTCCCTGTTGATACAAAATCTTCCGCTGTCTCATAGAGCGCGCAGCGTAACAATGTGGGCACAACTTAATCGGCGTCAACTCTCGGTATTGTAAGGGCTCACGTCTCAAACAGCTGTTCACGCACCAGTGCTCAAGACAGATGTTTTTTCTGTCGATGACCTTTACCTGTAGGGCTTTGTGAATAGAAAATTTTAGACACACATCAATTACGAATGAAGTAGCATAATTACAATGAATCGAATATGAATTGCATATTACTGAAAAAATAAGACGGCAGTTTTAGGAACAGTTGCTTCCTGAATATTCAATTCGAAAGTAACTGTGAGAAACATTTGAAGAAGGATTGTTACGACTAATTTTAACCATTAAAATATCATTATTAGCATAACTGGGGTAAATACATTGAGGCAGTGACAGCCGATGTCAAAGATCGGTGTTCATTGAAATACAGCTGTTAATTTAGAACTCATGAGGGTGTTTTCTCGCAACTTTTCACTTACAGTGAGGCGTAAAAATTAACCATATTGCCACCTGGTTTTCTTTGCCAGTGAACAGTGCGCCAGTTCTGTGCCAGTGAACGAAGACGGCGAAGACGAGCCACCCGTGCAAGCCTACAAAGGAGTCTTCAAAGGAGCCTTCAAAGGATCAGTTCTGTCACATATTTTTATTTGTTATCTTATTATCATCAATTCCAGTTCATAAAACTGCTCCTCTTTGCGTCTACGCCGATGATTTTCTTCTTTTCGCGTCATTCCGTGATACCAATACATTGTATGAAATCTTATAGTCATACTTGAGTGAGCTTGAAGTATGGCTTGGTGGGCTGTCTTTTTCGCTTAATGCTAGCAAATTTGCTCTGCTTGTATTTCCTCTATTTGTTCCTGTATTTCTTTCAGTGCGTTATCTAAATGATCTGATTCCAGAAGTAACGGAATTAAAATATCTAGGCATTGTTCAAGTTGGCAATTTAAATTGTCAGCAACAAATAGAATCAAACACCCGTAAAGCAGAAAGCGCTTTAGAATTGCTACGCCGGTTTTGCAATAAGAATTCAGGGATGCGCAGGGTTACGTTACTTATGATGTATACAAACACTACGTATGCCCTATTCTGGAGTTTGGGTGCATCCTGTTTTCAGGAAGTGCTGAGTACAAATTAACACCTCCTATATTGCTAGAAATGCGAGCTCTGCGGCTGTGTCTCGGGCTAGCTAGGTGTGTTGCGAATGGCTTGTTTATTTAAGAGCTCGAAACTTTCCACTTGATGTAAGATTTCGACAGCTTGCCGTGAAAATATTTTTAACACAGACAGTTTTCATCAAATCTCCAGATTCTTTCTTTATGCGGGCGTGACGTCGCTATCAACGACGTCAAGTCATTTTCGTCAAGCCTTTGTTATTGAATCTTCACGTTTCCCTCAAGCATTTAGTTCCCCAAACCTTGTACTCGATGTGAGTTGTCTTAGATTTCATTGATATCTCCCAAGAAATGCTAAGTTATGCTTTTAAAGCATGTTATGGAGGGCCTCTTTAAGACCATGTCAACAATTTTCTTAAGGACGTGGTAATTTTGAAGGATGCGACGCAAAATCTTCAGAAGGCGGTAGTAGGCTATTTTTCTCATCAGCTTAATTCGTCCTTTGCCTCTGACTGACTGACTTCACGCCAATTTTTTTCGCAGTATTTATGGCTATTATATTGGCTCTTCGAAAACTAATTTCTCAGCAATAAAAAGCTAATAATATTTCGGGTGGTTCGTCTGTTTGTACACATTTGATGTCCGCAAAGCAGTATCCTCTTCTTCTGATATTTTGGTATACTGTACCGCACAGCATATCAGAAGTTTGATTTGTTTGGGTCCTCGGGCATGCTGGAATGGCACGAATTGAATCTGCTGACTCGCTAGTTTCAGTATCTTCCAATTTACTGGTGGTACTAGTAGCTCCACAGTTTTTATTACAGCCGAATGATTGAAACGCGTTTTAATCCTAAAAATCATCGAAAGATCACTCCTACAATCTGAAAATTTTCGGCACTTGCAATTCACATGGAACACCGCGAAATGCCTTTCCCGTCAATAAGACATGATTCTGAGAAGCTTTCGCTGTAGAGTTCGTCAGCTTAAATTTTGTCTTCAGAAATCACGATTTCAATTAATTAACCTATGGGCAGTTTGCAATGAACCGAAAAGAATAGATCACTTTCTTCTCACATGCCACCGTTTCGCCTCACTCGCCGAATAATTCTTGAGTGACCGATTTGTATGCTGGGCTTGGCGGCTACTATATCCATTCTTTTATCGTTTGGAGCCAGTCATTTGGGTTCGGGGAGCAGTGCTATTCTGTCAGCGCTAGATAAACTCATTCAGGCAACCGCAAGGATGCGCTCCTAGTGGTACCGCCAAATATATCCCATAATCGGTCCTCTTTCTTCATTTTTGCAAATTTGTTTATGTAGTCTGGCTTATCTAATTTTTTTGCCCTTTTGAGCTTTTTATAATTTAAAAGGAACGTTAATATTGTTCTCATCTAATTTCTCACTTTATGGGCAAGCGTTGTGTAAAATTTATATGGTATGGTGTGGCCAATCTCCCTTGCGGGAACGAGCCAAGATGCTCTAGGCGACTAGACAAGTCAATAGTCGTCAAGTTTAATGGATCGCAGAGCGACAGACTTCAGTTGCACAGTAGTGGCCAGTGACCAATAGGGAGCGCGGAGTAGACTTGTGAGATCCAGTTGGCCATTTGACCCGTTGTTGTGTTTATCCGCTCATGTAACACCGGCACTCTTGGCCTTCTTGACAACGGCTTTGTGGGTATCTCGTTGGATCGAGCTGCAGCATTTCCGGGTTTCCAGAATCACGTAGAGGATGCATAGGTGAGGAACTGCAATGCTGTTCAGGTCCTCCCAGTGGCTCCACTTCTGACACAGAAGTTTGGAAAGCTAGGCGAACATCTGTCGCTGACCCTGCATTTCCGTTCGCTCGACGACCAGCTCTAGTTTGACTATTTCCGCTACCACAGCCTGCAAGCAACCAGCCGCGGATTCCTCATTCAGGAGGTCTTTGCTGCACTCGAAGTTTCGCCTTCGTTTGTTGTCAAGAGCCTCTAACTTTACTTTTGCAGTCTGATGTTTGGCTGCTTGAGACTGCAAAAAGTGATGAAGATGCTCGGACTCGTACAAGTTGTCTTCACTGGAGCCCTGGAGTAACTTGACAGTCTTCGCCATCTCCTGCTTCCAGTTATCCTTCGCCGCGCTGGCGCGAATGATGTTCTCGTTTTCCCAGATCTGCCTAATGATCTTCGCTTGCCCTGCATAGATCTTTCTCGCCGCGTCGAGGCAGTAGGCCGTGTTGCTAACGTCGCTGGGCTCGTTCGCCTCGACCCTCGAAGAGAGGAAGAGCGTTGTCGACAGGGCATCGTTATGCGAAGCTGGAACGATGCTACCGGCGTGAGTATGTTAATCTCGGAGCGGGGCATCCTTGGCCGTCGAGGGGCTCTGTTTGAGCTCGACCACCTGTATCTCGAGTTCGGACTTATCGGTTTCTGCCTTGTCGAGTTTGCGCCGAAGGCCTTCCACTTTTTGCTTGTACTCCTCTACGAGGCAGATTTACAACGGCGTGTGTGCGTTAACGTTGAGAACTTTTTTCTTGGTCTGCAGCTCGATGTTTATGGCGCGCTTGCCACACTTGAGAGTGTTGTGAGTGTCGGTGTAGCTGAGCTTTGACGGTGACACGGCCGCAATCAAGAGCGTGTGACACGTGCCACTAAGAGAGTCTTTCAGGATTTGGGTCAGCTTAGAATCCCGGTGCGGAACCCAAAGAGCCCCAGCCTTGGAGATGGCATCAATGCAGTTGCCCAGGGCCAGAAGCGAGAGGTGGATTTTGGTGCCCTCGCGTATCTAGGCCTTGATATTTTGTTCACGGCAGTGACACGCTCCGATTCGGCTAGGTCGACAAAGCTCACCTTGAAGAATCGAATTCCCTTGCTCGTGCTGGTCACGCTGTCTCCCTGAGTGACGTAAACATGAAATAACGCATGAGACCATGACGACTCCGAGTTGGCTTGGGCGGTGTGCTGTGTCCAGTTCCTGTTGCCTTTCAGGAGGAACTCGAACAGTGCGCCATACTCCTTCACCTTGTGTATAGAATGGTTGGAGATGGCGATGCCCTTGGCTGAGTCGTCGCGCACGACCAACCACCGTCCTTTGGGGCACAGGAGGTCGCGTACGACCTCCTTGTAGACTTTCATGTAGGCGACCGCCACGTCGCATGACAGGCCCTCGGTGCGAAGCTTGTCTACGCGCCGGTAGAGCTCGCTTGCCGTCAGGGATACCACTCCATGACAATCCTCGGAGCCCAGCATTGTGAACGTCTTGCCAGTTCTGGTTGCATCCCTACGCGAAAACCAAGCACTAGGAGCCATCAAGAAGCGTAGTGAGCATCTTTTTGGTGGTGCGCTCAAAGACGTACTCAGTGTTCTTATCTTCAACGAAGACCCAATTAAACATGAAAGTATGGTCCTTGTGCGGCTTGACGAAGCCCGCGCCTGCCCGCTGCCCTTGAAAGTAGAAGGACTCGGTTTCAGCTTTGGGTCTAACACGAAGCACCTGTCGTCACCCACATAGATGATGCTGGACGTCTCTGACTCGCGCTCGTTTAGTGGACGCACCCTCACGGCCACGTTCACACGCGCCATGGGCGACGGCGTGTTGTTGCCAGGGCGGCGGCATTTCGGGGCCGCCTTCGCGGTATCGCAGGAGCGCCGCTTGCTGTTCTGTGATGGTGCCATTGTCGACGCTTTGGTGGCTTCGACAAACGAAGCACCTTGACGATCCTACGGAAGTCAGGCTACGCTCTTCGCGATTTGAATGGCCGACATGGTGAGCTGGTCCGCTGAATGTTCTATGCTTTTTATGGCAGCGTTTTTTTTTTTGCGTGTCTCTCGTGTTCGGAACACGTGCCTGTCGTGTTCAATGCATGTGGTTGGTTGGTTGGTAAGGACCCAAGAGGATTGGTTAAACCCACTTTGGAGATCGGCCATTATACTTGCGGTACTGTTATCTGGAAATAAAAGACAGGAGGATGATGCCTAAATAATTTTTATGTAAAAAAGCTTGGCAGCGCTAATATGCTAAATAGATTTGTTTAAAAATAAAAGAAATAATATTTAAAATATGAAATAAATAAAATACAGTATAAAATATATGACATAGACTAATGACAAAAATAAGCTATGAGTTTGTACTTATGAGATTAGCATGCTTGCTATTCTCATTCTCGTGTTCAAAGCACGTTGTGTTGCTGAACTAACATAGCAAAATTCATGATTGACTTTATCGCTTGGCGATCATTAGGTTTTAAATATAGGCACCTTCATTTGGAATCAGTAGCTCCTTAAAAGTGTGCTCTGCGTGCATGCGTTTTGATATTACAATATTTTAAAAAAATAGGCGCTTTCTCGTTAAATATGCGTTTCTCCTCAGGGGTTTTTCGGCCAGTGCTCAATATTGAAAAGTACTCTGGAAAAACCAGGCGGCAAGGGTGCTTGCTCACGGAGCAATATTTTGCCGCCTGCCGAGGCTCGCCACTTTGCCGCGGCCAATCAGAACGTTAGCATAGCAGCAGAGGGGCGGTGGTGGCGCGGGTGTATGTTTGGGAAACGCACTGACACGTCATAGTAACATGCGCGCCAAATCGCGAGATGCCCGTCTCTTGTGCCGGGTGACCACCCAAAGGAGGCATGCCGTCTGAACAGGTTCACGCACTCGCCGCCTCGCCGCTTCCAAAATACCGCTTGGCCGCTTAGCCGCACCGCCTTCGACGTGAACGAGCCTTTAGTGTCATGCAGATTTCAGCCTCTGGCAGTGTAAGCAGCTTGGTATGATGCGAAGAACTTCATTGGGCCCCGAAGGTCGAACCTGGGTTAACCCGTACCCCACCCATGTCGGGACTAGTGGGTCAGTTTCGCTGTTTTATTAAACCGTGTGGACTTAACTTCATGATGTGCTTTTCATACAGTGAAAGAGAGCGCACTACCTAAAGCAGTATATTTTGCAGAGCTTGCGCCTCACGCCGCTGAAAATCATATTTCGTTTTTGATGAGGCATTTAAGGCCATCAAAGGCCATCGCCTTAATAAGCGGTGTTCCCTCAGAAGTACCATGGTCGAAAGTGCGTCTGCATTGTCGCACGATGGTGGCGATCAATTGGTAGAGACATTCAAAAAACGAGACGATCTAGCTTGACGACGTCAAGCATGACAAAGTAGCTATAATCTCGATGATATTATCACAGTAGTAGTATGTTCAATGATTTCTGTTTACTGGTTATTCTACATTTATGTTTCGCGGTCCGAATAGGCAAATAGATGAGGCAGATTCAAAAAGTGGCATCTCAATTGAAAACAAGAAATTACTTCTATGGCACGATTAGGAACTGATTTGGTAGGGCATAAACCAACACTATCAGTGGCGTGTTGATAAGATTTCACTTCTTTACGTGGAGGAGGCCCATCACAGGTGATTGGATGGGATAATATTTCATTGGGTCCTCCAAAACACAGATCACTGTGTCGCGGGTCGCTCCCACGTGGGGACTGAGATGTCGAGCTTCTCATCCGTCTCTTCGAAGCACTGCCATTTTCATGAGTGCCTGCTGATTCATCATCCCCACGTGTTGGAGTCACTGCTTCTACGCGCAATAAAGTTGGTGTACTTTCAGTGGTCATGCCAGAACCTTCAGATGCAGTTGAACCTCTTATGACCCCCGCCGCTTCCGAGAAGTTGGCAGTAAAGCCAGCCGTTTTCGCAGAGGTTTCATGTTTTTTTAGTTTTTGTTGCTGCACATTCAGGTAGTTTAGGCGGCTCCAGTAAAGTGGCAGGCACAGCATTCTCAATGAGCGTAGGTTTCTGTGGCGTGTGCCACAGTATGTTTGCCTTGTATTCTGCATGGTGTGTGGCAGAGGTCACTTCTGCCGAGAAATGCTTCGCACGCACATGGCCAGCAGACTGCAAGGCTCCGTCAGCTCTCGAAATTGCCCGTCGCCACTTATCGAAGCACTATAGTTCACACGGAGCCTTGAAAAGCGACACACGCTCAATACAAGCTCGATACTTCGACTTGCGTTTTTGTACAAAAAATACTTGCCCATTTTGAAACATTGCCACTGACAAGGTCGCTGACGCACGCTCGAAGTCACATGTCGCGTCGAGGTATACGTGCTCTGAATTATGAAGTGCGAATCAGCTGAATAAGTGTACTGAGAAGGCTCTCAGATACAAAATTTTATTTTTACATCACAAAATGTCATGCACACAAAGCTTTGAGGAAGATGTTCCCTCACGATCGATATTCGATATGAGTGCTTTGCGAATACCTGGTGGCCTAAACAAATATAGCGCCATCTCTAGTCGCGTGACGGCAACTACTCGTAGCTCAATGTACGGTGTCTTGAATTGAAAAGTATGAAAAGCGCCCGCAGAAACGGTCTCTGAAGTGCACCGATACCGCAAGGGGCGCTGTAAGCAGGACCCTGTGGCGATGAGCAGACCATGTCAAGCGTGGGCGGTCCGCAATTGATAACGTTATAGACCTGGTCTCATCTGTTCAGCATCAAAAAAGACTGAAACGTTTATCTGCGGCGTTGTTCTTGGACGTGAAAGGAGCATACGATAACGTATCACATGAAGCCATTCTGGATGTCATGGAAAATGTTGGTTTAGGGGGTCGGGTTTACCAATGGATCCACAGCTATCTGAAAGGCAGAACTTCCTTTGTACAGACGGAGAACGGCACAACAACGCACCATCGCAACCATCGTGATGTGCCTCAAGGCGGTGTTCTTAGCCCCACACTTTTCAATCTAGCGCTAATGGGCCTGGCTGACGCACTTCCAGAATCTGTCCATCTATCAATATATGCAGATGACATCTGCATCTGGGCGTCAGGCGTAAGACGCCTTAATTTGCGTGCCCGCCTTGAGAGAGCGGCTACAATAGCGACAAAGTACCTGGAAGAACGGGGACTAGAGCTGTCATCAGAGAAATGCTCGCTTATAGCATTCACGCATAAGGCTATGAGCCCATATTTTATTAAAATCAACGGACACACGATCAACTACGTGAAGACCCACCGATTCCTCGGAGTCATAGTTGATCGCGTCCTCTCCTGGAGCCCTCACATTGCCCACATGAAAACTAAACTCACCATGATCACCCACGTACTGAGGTTTCTTGCTGGAAAAACGTGGGGTGCATCGGTACGAGCAATGCTCCAACTCTACACTGTTCTGTTCCTCGGTTATATGCGATAATGCTTACCCGTGCTTTGCGGGATCCGAAGAACAAACTTGCACGTCCTCCAGTCGATCCAAGCCCAAGCACTGAGAATATGCTTTGGTCTCCCGAGATGCGCGTCTACAGCAGCGACAGTTATCATTGCACGTGATTATCCAGTCAACGCATACATCCGCGTAGATGCTTTGAGAATGCACATAAGACATTTCGCTCGGCTTTAATCTCATCCCCTCGCCTCACTTCGGACTTCCAGGCCCCGCTCAGCGTTCAGCGCAACTGTAGCTCAGCATTGCGCAGTGCTTCCATTGGACTTCACGCATGCAGCACAGCCGCCGATACCATTATGGTGCCTACACCCACTCAAAGCCCTTCTTACAATTCCTGGCATCCCAAATAAAAAAAAAGTCGTCTCATCTAGCCCTGAAACAGGCCACATTGCTTTTCCTGCAAGAGAAGCACAACGGATGCCTTCAAATTTACACGGATGGCTCGGTGTCTTCAGTAAGCTCTGCAGGGGCGGTGGTTATTCCCGCGAGGCACCTCACAATTAAATGCATGACATCGCATTTGACGTCATTGAAAGCTGCAGAACTTGCCGCCATACATGCTGCTCTGGAGTTTATAGAAAAAAAACCTTCGGGAATTTGGTCTATCTTCTCGGACTCGAAGGCATCTCTTCAATGTTTTATGTCACCCTTTCGCCAAGGACCTAATGAACAGTTAGTAGCTGAAATAAGGCTTCTTCATCACCAAGCAGTCGAAAAAACAGCACAGCATAGTGTATCAGTGGATACCAGGTCATTGCGGTATATATGGCAATGACCACGCAGATGAGGCCGCTAGATCTGCACACGATGGTACCCAATACACCGCCATCCCGTTCTCAAGAACCGACGCAGCTACAAGACTTCGTTCGCTTGCACATGACCTCACACTGGTACAGTGGAACTCAACAGACTTCACAAACGCGCGCCTACATAACTTGGATCCCGATCTGCAGCTTCGTCTTCCCCCAAGGATATCGCGAGCTGAGGAGACTCTTCTTGCCGCCTGTGGCTTGGAGTGGCCTTCACGAACGCATACTCTTATCTCATTGGGATTGCCAGCTCTCCCACATGCACTTACTGCAGTTGCGAAGAAACCATCGCGCACGTTCTGTGTGAGTGCACCCATTTCAACGCGCAAAGACAAGAACTCACTGCAGCTCTGGATAGACTAGACGATCGGCCTCTGTCGGAACAAAGTATTCTGGGTCATTGGCCGAGCCCCTCCTCAGCCCAGAAGGCTTGGAAAGCTGTGCTGCGCTTTTTGCGGACAACTGGCCTCAGAGACATACTTTAGTGTCTTATACTCTTTGATATTGCCTTTTCTGTGTCGTAATTTTTTCATATTTTCTCTCTCTCTTCGCAACATTTCTTTTAACAACTTTCATTCCACTCACCCCTTTCCCAGCACAGGGTAGCCAGCCGGTCTAAGAACTGGCTAACCTCCCTGTC